TAGTAGAATTTTACTAATTGAGAAGCAAAAACTGAGTCACTAATTCAAATTAGTAAACATTTTTACTAATTCAGATTTAGAGAGTAACTGTATTTAAATAATTAAATTATGTATTTGAATTAAATACCATTTACTTGGCTCAAAACTAAATGTATTATTTAATGTATAAATAAATATTTATTTGATAATAGTCAAGTAATCGATTATTTGAATCAAATGAATTTTTTTCATCACTTACACTGAAAAAAGGGGTTTGGTATTGACAACCAAACGTTTGGTTGGTATTTAAGCAAACAAAAATTTTTTTTGTTGATTCAACAAAATTTTAATTGTCTCAATCAAAATTTGTTTGACACAACCAAAATTAGAAATAAAGGATTTTTGTTGTTCTAACTAAAGTTTAATTGAGACAACCAAAATTTTGTTGATTTAACAAAAAAAATTTTGGTTGCTTAAATACCAACCAAACGTTTGGTTGTTAATACCAAACCTTTTTTTTCAGCACACTAATTTAAAAGTATCAAATTGATACCAAAAATATCAAATTGATACGAATTTTTATATTAATTTGATATTTTTGGTATCAATTTGATACTTTTAAATTAGTGTGAGTGTAGTTCCTCAAGTAAAAAAAAAATCTTATTTTAAGTCGAGTTTTAAGTTGTAATAATTTTAAAAGATTCCTTAAGGATTTTAACAGATTTTCTTAATTATCAATATTTTTCTAAATTTAAAACAATTTTCGAATTATATAAGTCTTAAAAATTATTCCAACTTAAAATAAAACTTTCGAATAATAGCAATTTTAAAAATATTTAAAACTAGTTTTTAGAAATTCGGAAAAAAATTTAATATTATGGGTTTGAAAAAAAAATGATTACAGCCGCGATCCATAACTTATATATTCCAAGAAGCGAACAACTTTATCCTCTATATATATATATATAAATTTTGGGCTTCATGGACTAAAACTCATTAATTTTTATTCCGTCCCGGAAATCGTTTATCCTCTTTGTTTCACTAATAATATTTCAGTACCACGCTCCATTGAACGACGACGGTAGTTATAAACTATGCGACTATTAATTAACCTTGAAAAAAAAACCCAGACGCCCTTGTAACCTACCTCAAAACTGTTATTGTTACGGTTCTCCCAAAAAATAAACGAAAAAAAAACCGTTAATTTAGATTTTAGATTTCAACCCTTCACTTTAAAAAGCTTATCTCTTCAATAGCTGAACATCTGAAAAATAGTTAGCTATACATAAATTTAGTTTAAAACTAATGTAAATTAATTTTTTTTTCCTCTTTTTTTTTCAAAAACAAAAACCTTGGAAATATTAAAATATTTTTTTCTTGACTGGAAAATAAAATAAAACTGAATTTAAAATATGGAGATAAATTTATTTAAATTAAATAAATTTTTTTTCAGTGTATCAGTTAAATTTTACATTGTATGAAAAATAAATATTAAATTATATAAAAGTATTTTCAAATTTTTTAAAAATATTTTTCAAATCGTAGAAAATATTGTCAAAAAAAGCGGAAATTTCCTTATAAAGAAATTTTTGAAAAATAATGTAAAAAATTACCGACATAGAAATCTATATTACCGACTGATGATAAAACAGGAAAAATTATTATATAAAAACTTACCGACATAGAAATCTACATTACCGACTGGTGTGAATGTAGATTTCTAGGCCGGTAATTTTTTGTATGCTCATTTTTCTGTTTTATCATCAGTCGGCAATGTAGATTTCTAGGCCGGTAATTTTTTGTATGCTCATTTTTCTGTTTTATCATCAGTCGGCAATGTAGATTTCTAGGCCGGTAATTTTTTGTATGCTCATTTTTCTGTTTTATCATCAGTCGGCAATGTAGATTTCTAGGCCGGTAATTTTTTGTATGCTCATTTTTTCTGTTTTATCATCAGTCGGCAATGTAGATTTCTATGTCGGTAATTTTTTTTAAAATCATCATTTTCCTGTTTTACCATGCTAAATCCTTAGTAACGGTTGCTAAAGAAAAAAACGGTCATGGTAACGGTTGTCATGGAAACTGTTAAACTACCACTAAACATAAACTAAAAAATTACCTCTAAAGTCCCATTTCTCGTGGAGCCTTACATATATATGAAAATTATAATTTTTATATCAAATTTTTCACGACTTGAAAGTACTTTTAAAAAATTTGACATTTATTTTCTCTTCTCGTCTATATACTGATGAGTAATTTTACTAATAAAATTTCCAAAAAAAAAAGAAAATTCACACAATAAAAATTTACATTTTAATGATAGAAAACTTTGAATATAAAAATATTTGATAAAAATAAAATTTGTCAACATCAAAAGTTATATGTACTGTGCGGATATATTTGAATTCAGCAAAGAGAGAAAGAGAGAGAGAGACTCAGGGTATAAAGGGTGAGGGTGTCCTCTGGAGATAGATTTGATTGCTATAAGAGATGTATGTTGCCCAGGATTCTGGCCCGGGCGGTAAAATCGGAGGTACAGTATTTCGAAGGAAGAAGTAGGGGCAGCGATATAATCCAGGGCAGAATACCACCCTTGGGTGGGGGTGCAAGATGGGACAAGGGGTCGAAAGCAGAGAGAAATATATATATATACACGAGAGAGGGAAAGTGAGAAAGTTATAGAGACAAATGATATGGAGAATGGGATTCAGAGAGAGAAAGAGAGAGAGAGAGAGAGAAAATAGAGAGGGAGGTCGAAAAATGTGTAGGTGCGTAAGACCGGGAAAGTTCCAAGAATCAATAGTATAGTAGCCACGCGCTTTCCTCGATTCTTCGCATCGAAATACACCAAGCTAACTTTTTTTCAAGAGCGTTCAAAACAAAACGGAAAATTTTTTTTTTATTTAACAAAATTTTCCGTCCAATTTTTATGGGGAAAAAATTTTCTCTCTAATTTTTATTTAGCATATTTTTTACTTATGCATAATTTTTATTGAGCATAATTTTTAAGCATAATTTTTATTAAGCATAAATTTTATTTATGCATAATTTTTCTTTAGGCATAATAAAGATCGAATTATATTTATCAGGCCGAATTTTCCTTTAACCAGAATTGAATTTTTATTAAGCGGAATATTCATTTAGCGAGAAATATTTTTTGGGGAAATTTTTTTAAATATATATTTAAAAAAAAATAGAAATTCTATTCATTAAAAATTTTTTTACGTAGTTTAAATGTAATAGTTAAATACAATATTTAACTTGACGGTAAACCTACATGAAGGAGCGCAGACAATGAAGTCGGTTGTTTATTCGCTTAGTGGGTATGAAGCCCTATTAAAAGTTGTACTTGTGTACACTAAAGAGACTAGACATCGGGTTTTGTCAACTTACACGAATAATCGTATTGATAATTGGATTTTAAATTGTCGTTAAGAAATGACTAAATTCATAAATATACACTGAAAAAAAAAATTTATTTCATTCAAATAATCGATTACTTGATTGTTATCAAATAAATATTTACTTGAATCAAATAAATAATTAATTGAACCAAATAAATATTTAGGTACCTGAACTAAATAAATATTTAATTAAACCAAATAAATATTTAATTAAACCAAATAAATATTTAATTGAACCAAACAAATATTTAATTGAACCAAACAAATATTTAATTAAACCAAACAAATATTTAATTGAACCAAATAAATAATTCGGTACCTGAACTAAATAAATATTTAATTGAACCAAATAAATATTTCGGTACCTGAACTAAATAAATATTTAATTGAACCAAATAAATATTTCGGTACCTGAACTAAATATTTAATTCAACCAAACAAATATTTAATTGAACCAAATAAATATTTAATTCAACCAAACAAATATTTAATTGAACCAAATAAATATTTAGGTACCTGAACTAAATAAATATTAAATTGAACCAAATAAATATTTAATTGAACCAAATAAATATTTACTTGAACTAAACAAATATTTAATTGAACCAAATAAATATTTACTTGAACTAAATAAATATTTACTTGAACTAAATAAATATTTAATTGAACCAAATAATTTCTATTTGAATTAAATAATTTTTATTTCAATTAAATAAATTTTTATTTGGATAAATAATTTCTGTATTTGAAACAAGTACCCATTTAATTGACTAAAATAATAATTAAATAAATATTTATTTGACAATTTAGTCAATTTAATTGATTATTTGAATCAAATAAATTTTTCTTCAGTGTTCTTAAACACCATCAGTATTTCACATAAAATATCCTACAATAATAATATAAAAATAAAATTTAAGTAAAATTTTAAAAATTTATAAATTTTTTAAATCTATTTGAAAAAAAAATTACTTAAATTAATCAAAAAAACACAATACATGCAAGGCAAGCAAAAATTAATAAATTCTGCTGAAAAAAATGTATTAAATTCATTTTTATTTAAAAAATCAAATGAAAAACAAAAAGCATCAAACAAAACTAAATAAGTTAATCAAATTATAAAACATTAAAAAAAATATTTGTTTATTAATCCAAAAAAATTTTTTTTTTAGTAAAAAAAAGTATGATGCATTTGAAAAAGAAAAAAGCGAAACAAAAGTGCAATGATACAATGAATGATGATGATTCTTTTTCGGAAATGAAATTTGAAATATGCAAACATTTAATGAAATTTAATTAAAATTATTATAATTAATTATTATGTACATGAATAATTAATTATTAATTAAAAATTAATTTAAAAAAAATAATTATTATTATTTATATTAATTATGAATTATTATAACTAATTAAAATTAATTCATACCAAAAAACAAATAATTTTTATTTTTTCTTTCAGATGAGAGTTTTGATGAATTTGGATTATGGAAAATGGATATGGAATAATATATGTTAATTAGATTTAAAATGATTATAATTATGAGGATGAATGTGCGAGTGATAACGAATTTTTTTTTTCTTTCTTTTCTTTTTGGAGGGAATTAAGCAGGGACTCACCTCCATCCATTGCCGATCTGGTCGACCGGAGATACTGGTAGGGCGTCGCCGCTACCCCTGTAAGCAGGAAAACAAAATTTTTTGTATAGGATAGGTACATGAAGGAGAGGAAACGGATTTTTTTTTTTCAAGGAAATTTTTCTAATACATAAAATATATATATATAACTTTCAACACTTCTCATCTATTCATTAATTCAAATTTTTTTTTTATATCAACTAAAATATTGCTATTGTTTTATTTAACAATAAACAGCAAGAAATGGAAACCAATATTGTTAAAACCCAATGAAGCCAATTGAAACAAAATCAATTGAAAAAATTTGACTGAAAAAAAAATTTTCAAAGTGGAAGTATGAAAATTTTATTTCTATTTATTATTATTATTATTTATTCCATTAGGAAATGGTAAAATTTGGTTTTAAAGAAAAAAATCAAAAACTTTCTTAAAATGATGATTTTTATTGCAAATCGTTTGCAAGTAAAAAAAAAAAACGTACCTTCAAAAATACTGTTCAAAAAAAACTCATTTTCTGATGAATCGTGAGATAAATAAAAGTAAAAGAAATAAGACGCAAATTGTGATTGACGTTAAACAACATTTAACTGAATTGCAGGATAAAATTAAAATGACGTTTTTTTTTAACAGAAAAAAAATTAATACTTAGATAAAATCACATTTACCAGCTGCATCGTTCTTCCTTTTTCTATATGTAACTTTCTCAAGTTCCACAAGACCCATTTCACGCCCGTCATGCCAATCTAAAACCTCAATCGTTTTGTTATCTTTTTGCAAGCCCCTTTCACTCCTTTTTCTCAATTTTTCCACTTTTTTACCATCTCTAAATTAAATTACTTTTTGCCAAAAAAAAAAATAGAAATCAATTTAATTTTTTTTTTAGAAAAAATGATGATTTGTTTACTATCAAATTTTGATCCAATTTACTTATATATATGTAGTTAATTATCTTTTTTAATGAAAACAAATATTCATTATATATGAAGTTAATTATGTAAAATATATGCAAAGGTTTAAAAAAAAAAAACACTTTTTACAAAATGCTGAACAATTCACGTTGTGCAGTGGAAAAAGAAGAAGAAGAAGGAGAAGAGGAAGAAGACAGAAAATCAAGATCAAAGATGAAGCGGGTAATAATTATTGCACGTCAGCGTGCCTTAATTTTGAGGATAATTAAACGACTCAAGTCACTCCACCTGCCGATCGATAAGAAGCTTTTCGCGCGTCATTTCTTTTTTCAAGAGGAGAACGCAGCAGCTTGTTCGTCTTGATTAGCAAAAATTACACTGACGAAGATGTTACTTTGCACTTATCGAATCACGCTTCACAATATTTTTTCATATTTCTATTTAAAATTTTTTTTTTTTATTGTTATTAAAAATATTTAAAAAACATTATTTTATAATTATATTATTATATAATAATAATATAATATATTATTTATTTAATAAATATTAATTAATTCTATCTATTAATTTACTAATTGTATTTATTAATTTATTATTTATTAATCACAGTAATAATATATAAATAACTATTAATATTGTTATTATTATTATTTTTATTATAAAACAATTAATAATATAATAAAAAATAATAACAGAGTGACAGCAAAATTTCATTTTCAAAATTCCCAAATTTTTCCCTGACTAATTGTTCTTTTTTCCTGACTGAAAAAAAAAATTTATTTAATTCAAATACTCGATTACTTGACTATTATCAAATAAATATTTATTTGAACCAAATAATTTTTATTCGAATCAATTAAATAGTATATTTATTTCAAATATAGAAATTATTGGTTCAAATACAATTTATTTCAAATAAAAATTATTTGATACAAATAAATATTTATTTGAACCAAATAATTTTTATTCGAATCAATTTAATAGCGTATATTTATTTCAAATATAGAAATTATTGGTTCAAATACAATTTATTTATTTCAAATAAAAATTACTTGATACAAATAAATATTTTTTTGAACCAAATAATTTTTATTCGAATCAATTAAATAGTGTATATTTATTTCAAATATATAGAAATTATTCAAATACAATTTATTTAATTCAAATAAAAATTATTTGATACAAATAAACATTTATTTGATAATAGTCAACTATAATCGAGTATTTGAATCAAATAAATTTTCTTTCCATTGTGATTAACAAATTTTTTTGTATAATTTAAAACCTTTTATTAATTAAATTTTTATATTGGTTTTTTAATTAGTAATTTTATTCATAAAAAGAAAATAAATAAAATAATTAAAATTTTGTTAAAAATTATTATTTAAAGAAGTAAAAATTTGATATTTAATTTGCCTTTTTCTGCAAGATCGCAAAATTTACTGACATTTGAAGATTTTTTATTTTTACAAAATTCACTGACTTTTCTCTGATTTAATAAAAAAATAATAAATAAAAATAAAAAATTTAATAATAAAATCAATATTTTATGAAAATATTGCGAATATTAATTATAAAAATAGTAGTAAAAATAATAATAGTAATAGTAATACCGTGGATGTACCAGTTACTGTCCATGTCCCAGTTTCCGTCCATTTTACAAATATCTCGTATAGTAATTTAAATTATTTTTTAACAATAATTTATTCCTTTTGGCACACAATCGACTTATTAGTTTAAGTAAACAAAAAAAAGAAAATAATTTTTTTATAAATGTTATTTTGAAAATTAAACTGGACGGAAACTAGGTCTTAGGTGGACGGTAACTGGGACATCCACGGTAATAATAAAAATAGTAATAAAAACAATAATAATACACCCAGAGAAATGTTTTAATTGAACCAAATATAATATATTTGAGTTAAATAAACGTATATCTATCTCACAGGCTACATAGCCTATTTATTTAGCATAAATACATTTTTTTATTTAAATTAAATAAAATTTTATTTGAATCAAAATAAAAATTTTGAAAAAAATTTTGAAAATTATTTAAAAATTATAAAAAATAAAATTCTATTCTATTCTATATGTCAACTTTGATAAATTATTATTTTGCTAAAGACAGTATATAGATATATTATTAAAGATAATGATTGATTTTATTTGAAAATTATTTCTGGGTGGCCGGGTTTATATTTAATTTTTCTATATATGGCCAAAGTCTGATCTAACTGGTTTCAATCGTAATAATAATATACCTTGAAAGAAGTTGATATTAGGCTGAAAGTGGGAGCGTTTCTTTATTATCGTTTTTTTTTTTTTTGACAATAGTCGAAGAGATAACTAGTTTAAACTCGTGCGAATGCAGCTGCTATATATATATATATATATATAAGTTGAGATACATGTGTTCTTCTTGTGTTAAAATCCTTAAGGCAAAAATGATACAAGCCGACGAGAGATGGATACTTTGAGTAAACATCGCGTAAAGAGATTTAACCGATCCCCTTATGGCTTTGTTTCGACTCGGATGCGAAAAGTTGTTTCGAGAGGGACAGAATTTTATATATATATATATATGTATTGGATTGGACATAAGATCGAGGCCAACAAGTCTGATTACAAGCGGACCAGTTTGATGTTTGCCCTGCCTTCTTTACGCGTCAATTCCTCAACATTCTTTCTGCACGAGGCATTATTATTGCATTGAGAAAAGTCCCTCTTTCTCTCTCTCTCTCTCTCTCTCTAAAAAAGCTACTTTTTTCTTCATACTTCGATAAAACAATATTAAATTTTTAAACACATTTTCCTTTTTTTTCAAAAGGAAAAATTAAATTTTTTTTTTACTTTTTGGTTCAAAAAAATTATTTTCTTCGAATTTTATTCCCTGCTTGTGTTTATTTATTTTAAATTACTTGTTTATTGAAATAAATACAAAATAAATTATTTATTTATTAAATTAAATTTAAGGGCAAAAATGAAATTCAAAAATTTAGTAGTAAGTACCTGTTATGGTCAGACATTATACAAGTTTTCAAAATCGTTATTTTATATTAAAATTGTAAATATTTTTTGAAAAAAAAAGAATATTTAAATTTACTCGTCTCGTGATGAAAAAATTTATTAAATTCTTTTCCGAAGTCAGAAATTGAAAACAAGTAGTAATAGTCGATTTTAGTCAGACACTCCACTAGAATATCACTGAAACTTGATATATTAATCAAAATTAATATTATCATAATATTATTATTTTTATTAATATTTTCATTACTATTAAAATAATAAAAATAATAATAATTATTATTATTAATAATAATAATTATTATTACTTCCCAATGCGAGATAATAAACAAAAAAAAATTAGGAAATTTAATAAAACAGTAAGTCAAAAAATGTTTCTTTAATTCAAAAATAGTTTCTTTAAGTCAAAAACTATTTCTAGGACTCCAAAAAAAGTTTATTTGATACAAAAATAATTTCTATAAGTCAAAAACTATTTATTTAGGTTAAAAGAAAATGTTTCATTAAGTCAAATTTAGCTTCCGTAAGACAGAAAATGTTTCTTTGAATCAAAAATAGTTTCTGTAAGTCAAAAAATGTTTCTTTAATTTAAAAATAGTTTCTTTAAGTCAAAAACTATATTTCTTTGACTGAAAAAATAGTTTCTCTAAAAAAAAAAACTGTTTCCTTAAGTCAAAAAAAATGTTTCTTTGAATCAAAAATATAGTTATTGCAAGTCAAAAAATGTTTCTTTGATTCAAAAATACACTCAGAGAAATGGTATATTTGTCTCCGAGCCTACTAACTCATTTATTTGTTGCAAATATATTTCATTTCATTGAAATAAAAAATTTATTTGAGCCAAAGAAAAATTTATTTCTGACAAATAAAATTTTTATTTACGCCAAATAAATAAGATAGTAGGCTCTGAAACAAATATACGTTTATTTAACTCAAATATATTTTATTTGGTTCAAATAAATCATTTCTCTGGGTGTAGTTTCTTTCAAATCAAAAACTGTTTCTTTAAGTCAAAAAATAGTTTCATTAAGTCAAATTTACCTTTTATAAGACAAAAAGTGGTTCTTTGAATCAAAAATATATTCTATAAGTCAAAAAAAGTTATTT